ATCTCATTTGCATATGATTAATTCTAAGTCAAAGAGAATGGAGGTCACCCTGGCCCCTTGCTTCTCAGCCCCTCTGGGATGTGCCTGACACAGGCTCCCTTCCCCTCCCCCTGGGGCCTCCTCCCCTCCCAGCCGCTCCCCACTCCCCTTGCCGCTCCCCATACCTCCCCCAGCTCCCAGAAGTCCTGTTCCCTTCCTCTGTCACCCACGCAGCCCCCACCACCTGACCGCCCACCTGAAAAACTTTTCCCCAAGTTCTTGAGAAGTCGCGTAGGATCCAGGAGAGAAAAATCAAAGTAATAAAACCTCATTTAATTCCTAGCGGAGGGCAGAGCTGCGAGCTGCAATTATCTTAATGCTGAGCTATTTTTGTTCTCTCTCCATCTCTGTCTCCTGCCTCTCTCGATCGGTCGTGATGCTTTCTCTTCCTCCCTTTGTCTCTCCATCTCTCATATGTGCTTTCTGTCTCTTTTCACTTTTTTTTCTACCTCCCCCCTTTCTCTCTCTCTCTCACCTCCTGTCTCTGTCATCTTTCTCCTTCCTGTCTATCTGTCCCTTGTGCTTGTACCTCTGTCAGCTAGGCTTGCCCACCCCTCTTAACCCCGGGGTGTAGCAGCCAGAGCTGTGGGTGCCAGAAAGGCTGAGGGAAGAGGGTGCAGACCCTCCCCTCCATCCCCAAACACTCCCTCTTCCAGGCCTGGCTGAGAGGGAAGTCTCCCTTCCCAGCTGCCCCAGCCTGGGTCAGGGGCCTTTCTCCTGACGCAGGACTCCCCAGAACTCGGAGGTTATTGGCAGAACCTCCATAAACAAGTCCTCCCTGGTCAAATGAGCCGCAGCCGCTGTGGTCCCCAAGGCCATCTCAGCTCTCCTGGGCTCCAAGGTGCAACTGGTGGTGACCCTCCTTGTCCCTGACCTCTCATCACCTGCCCAGCTGCCCTCTGACCCCTTTATCCCACCTCAGGCCCCTCCCACCCTCCAGCACTGGAAGCCACAGGCCCTCACCCTCCCTGGCCCAGCGGCCACTCGGATTACTGCCTGACCGGTCATGTTCCTCTGACTTTCAGAATCTCCTTATTTACCCTCGAAAGGCGCTGCCAAACTGGCCTTTGCCACTCCCCACCACACCCCATCTGGAAGGGGGGTCTGGGCCAAGCCAGGGGCTGCCAGAGATGCCCACACCCCTGGGCCAGCAGCCTGGCATCCGGCTGTTTCCCAACAAGCATATAAGTCAACAAACACAGCCGGACCTGAGCCAGGCCTGGGGCTGAGGGGTGTGGAGCTGAGTAGCTGGAGCTTTCGGCTCCCAAGAGCAAAGCTCTGCCCTCCGGCCACCCTCTCCCTCACCCCCAGAGTGAACACGGACTCTGGGGCACATCATGCCCCTGACCCCGTTTCCACAGGACGCCTCTGGCCTCCTGTGCCCCTGGTTCTGCCGAGGACCCAGCACACTCTGGGGCTGGAGTGGAAAAGTTGCTGGAGGTGAGGGAGGGCTCCTGACTGATGCAGGCCGGAGTGTGACCAGGCGGGAACATGGCCAACACAAACAGCACCCCAGGAAGACACGCACAATGTCCACATCTACACACGCACACACACCCTGTCGGCCCACAGAGCGGCATTCAGACCCTCACCCACAGGCCTGCAGCGCAAAACATGGGCTCCTGCAAAGACACCCAGGGCCCGGACAGATACACAGGGATAATGCAACCCACAGGGCCAGTGGCCTCCCCTTTGCCCCTCTAGAAACACACAAACATCGGGGGAGGGGGAGAGAGAGAGAGAGAGAGAGAGAGAGAGAGAGAGAGATAAGGGGGGAGGAGAGAGAGAGAGAGAGAGAGAGAGAGAGAGAGGCTCACGCCTCGGAAATGAGCACACCCTCTCCCCTCAGCTCTGTTCCGAATGCACCGAACTCACACATGTGACAGCACGTGTGTATTGCTACAGGCAGCCCCCCAGCACCCCCAACTCTGTGCCCCTGGCTGGGTCTGTCTCCCTCCCATTAGATCTGGGAGAAAAGGCAGGAGACACGTGAATCCAGTGCACCTTGTACAGGATCACAACCTCATTCCCTCCCCGGCACAGGCTGGAGCTGCGGATACAGTACCCCCACCCCTCAGCTGGCACACCCGTGCCCATCACCTTGACAGCCTCTGCCAGCCTCCCCCACACCCACACCCTCCCGCACACGCACACAGTCCTCCCACACCCTGCCACTCACACTGCCTCCTTGACACTCTGACACACTTACTCACAGACTAGCATGCACCCCCCCTCCACACACACACACTCCCCAGCTATAGGCACCACAGGGCTGCTGGCACTCACACACACACACACACACACACACTCCCTGCAGGATGACTGACACGTGTCCTCCCACGCACACCCCGCTCTCTCACACTCCCTCGATTTCCAGGACACCCCCATTCACAGCGTGACATGCTGGGGGCACTCTTCAGGACCTCACAGGTCTCCCCGTGAAACTCCAAGCACCCAGGCCACGAAGGGGTTACAGCCAGAGTCCCTGCTGAACCTCCCCCCACCCTGCGCCCCCCCATGCCCTCCCCCTCAGCCTCCCCACATTATCCTCCCTGCTGGACTCCATCAATAATGCAGCTTCAAGTTCTGGGGAGACGGCAGGGGGCCCCCCCAGCCTGCTCCCCGCGCCTGGTCACACTCCCACCCTCCCCGGCCCGGGGAGAACTCGCTTCTGGGC